AGCTATACTGCAAAATTTTATTAATATAACTACTTTTGTGTCTTAATAGAAAAATGATCCTAATCTTATTTTAAATTATGTAAAAAAATTACTTTTGAAAAAATTGGCATTTTCGTCCCTTTTTCCAGCACCTAGCCCATATAACAAATAATAATACGGTATATACATTTAGTAAATATTAGAATAACAACGTGGGAGTTAAATGTCAAACTCTATTGTAAATATGTTAGGTTCAATATGATTTTAATAAATGAAATGCCTTCTGGCATCCGAGGTCACACCTGCTGGTTAAAAATAATTAAAAAAGAATTACGCGTCTATATCGATCAATGCTAATCTAAAGACAATCAAAACTTCTGTCGATAAGGTTCTTGAGTTCACTGAAACCATTCAGTGAATCTTTAAGCACCCACTGGACAATAACCAATTTAAATAACTAATCACTTGAGATTTGATGGAATCCGATCGTAATGGTAATTTTATATTAAGGATAGTAGAACCCGACTAATCTCAAATGAGCAATCATAATAAATTATTTTAAATTGGTTCCTAATCGAAAAGAAGCAAATAAAATTTAATTTAAGAACGTTTTCAAACCATTCAAATACTTGTACCATACCATAAAGAAGCATTCCAAATCGAGGGATACTCTTGGCGTGCTTGATTATATTATTATCATCAATAGATGGAAAATGTTCCTTCGGAACTTTTTCCATCAACTTGGTGCATTGAAGGAGGGATCGAATAAGTTTCCTTCGATCACCTTCAGTTTTGAAAGGATCGGCCAAGAATGGAGGACCAGTGGCTTCACCGTATAAAAATTCATCTTTATGGTCTTCCATTATATAGGTGCATAGCCAATCTGGTTTGTTTCTAGACCGATAATTACTTTGATACGTTTTTTTCTCAGTTTTTGTCAAATGAAGGAACATTTTATCGTAGTCTTGGCCCACCCGCTCATTTCCTTCTTTTGCTGTGCTTGTTGTCCTAGAAAACAGCAATGGAAAAATTATATTATAGAAAAGTTTTAAAAGCCAATTCGGAAAATATTACATACTACGCAATCCTGATTAATGAAGGAGAAAGGTCACGTACAGTATAGTACATAATGTTATTCATTATTTCATGTACATAAGTATCCTCTAATATTTTCTGATCTCCTTGCTGTCTATTGTCAGATAATTTTGTTTCCCGGATTTTTTTCTATAATGAAGGTTTAATATAATAACACTTCATTATAAATAACATTTTTTTTTTAAAAAAAAAATAAAAATAAAAATTATATAAATTTACAAGTGCTGATACATATCCAGTACATATCAGTATCCTTCATAATCTAGTCTTTCTGGGATTTGAATTTGTGAATTCTCGGAATTTACCAGTTTGGCTACCCAATTCTTTATATTCTTTTCTAAATTTTTCATGATTTAATCCTATCACAAAGTAATATTTCTTTTAATTTGTTATCCTTAAAAGACCTTAACATGATTTCATCATCATGTCTAGTAGTGTTTCGGGCGAAATTATTTTTGAGTTTTGCTCTATAAGTCCGAAATTAATTTTGCTCAATTTTGATATGCAAAATTAAATTTCACCTAAAACACTAATGTCTAGGTC